TATAAAGTAATATTAAAGAAGAACAGAAAATAATTACTTTTATTCTGTGACAGCAGGGACAGCTGTCACACCATGAAATGTAATCATTTCAGTGGAATCAGGGAGGACACTGAAATTTTCTGATAGATGCTTGCACTGATTTTGAACTTGATGAAAAAAAATGAGTAGATCAAACCAGCCACTAATACAAATCCCAAAATCACCTGGGTGTGGAAATTCTATGCTGAATCCTAAAGCTATTTGGAATCGTTGCTTCCAAACTCTTCTTCCAGATTGTGATCTTCATTTCCAAATTAAATGCTTAATTTTAAAAGTAGAGCTTTGACTGCTGATTAACTTGCAGCCTTTTTTTTAATCAGCATCCCAGGTAAATTGACTAAAGGTCAAGAGAAGCTAAACAAAATGAATACCACAACTTTACTTCATTTAGATATATGTCTGTGTGTGGTGACCCTGATTCCAGCAGAATCAGACCTTTCAGTCAAAACACTTGCACACAGCAAAGTGGGACTGCTCAGTGTACAGCCAGCTACTTTAGCAATGACCTTTGGGTCCTATTTATCACTGGACTAAGACATGTATGAAATCTTTAGCCAGTTTTAAAAGTGGGAGTTGGGATCACTGGAACCAGAAAGAATCCAGTAAATTTCTTGGACTGGTGAATATGAGTGTAACATGTGGTAGCAATCACCACTGCTGGGATTTTCTTTTATGAAACGATCACCAGATGCTATGTTAAACAAGACAACAACCATAACTTCCAACACCTTTGCTCAGCACAGCAAACAAATTGGAAGAAATTGAGAAGTTGTCTAACCCCTGGCATTTCCATTCACTTTTGAAGGCTACTAATTGTACCTTTAAAAGGTTTTTTGACAGACTAGAAAGTAATCTTTAAAAAAAAGATTTTTTTTTTTAAATGGCAAATACAAAATTCCCTTGTTGAGGTTTCATGGTTAGTTCACATTTTGTTCCTGCACACCCCAGAGGAGTCCAGATTCTTGCATCATTTTTTTTCTTATCCATCTGCATCATTTTTCCAAAAGTACTGAATCACTTGCTTTTGCACCCATATGAACTTTAAGGGCACCCAATTCTCTAGTTTTTCTCAGTTGCTTTGGTGCATTTCTCAGAACAAAATTGAGACTCTCAAAACTACTTGCTCAATCTTCAAATCAACGTGTCATTTCAATTGCTTACGCAATGTTGATCAAAATGTTGTCATGATCGATAACTGTTTAACTGCACTCACCTGTTTTCAACTGATCCCAAAGGTATTTAAGTCTGTTTTCTGTTCACTTGTGGCCTGGTTGTCTGTTGTCCTCAGATTTCTTTCATCCCTGGTTCCTGTGTTCACTTAGACTATTAGACTGGAGTAGACTGGGTACCACGCAGTAAGTTCCCACACTCTTTCCATGAGGATGAGAAAAGTCCTGTGCTGACGCGCCCCTAGTCTGCTTCTCAGATCCAGACAGATTTTCAGGAGGGATCCAGCTCATTGTGACATGCTGTCACCCTCTGGTTTTGACCAGAGTAGGAAAAGCCCATTGCTGACACATCCATAACCTGTTCCAGGGCACTTGATTTCGCTACTGATACTCCTAAGCCCCCCAGTGTCCCTACGCCTCCGAAGCCTCTCCTTTGACTCCTGCATTGATGCCGCCTGCCTCCACACGTGGGTTTTTACATGGAAAGCTGCCAACCTGTCCACGTCACGCACTTTAGCATTTTGACTTCACTCTGTAATTTTATGCGGCCTGACACTCTCCGTTTTTTTATATTACTAATCGTTGATTGTAGAATTTCTTTCAGTTTTCACAAAAGGACAGCAGCCTATTGAAGCATAAGTCTATCACTTTACAATTTTTAAAGTCACAAAGGTCCAGAGAAACACATCCTTTTGCAAATACTTGCAGAAGGCTGGATTTTATACATCTGTGGCAGCGGTGGTGATTGGACAGCTGGATTCAATAATTTGGACTGGTTGGTGAATACTTTGGGTGAGATAGTGTATGTGAATGCAGCATAAAAAAAATATCACCTGTGTGACTTCTATTTCTATGTAAAAAAAAAAAAAGGGTCCTGAGATAGCTGCATAAGTTATTAATCAGTTTTCAGATTAGCAAAACTCTGTTTAATCATTAGCCATAATAGACAGAATCCTTCGTGTCCTTTTCTGCTGTCTTGGAACAGCAAGACAGCAGAGACAGCTGCTGGAACGTTCCTTCCAGAACTTTCCAGCCTGGAACGTTCTGGAAGGAACGTTCCAGACTATTCCAAAATTACAGTAAATTAATTCAAAATGCCTTATCTTACATCATTTTTTTCTTTTTTTAAAACTTAAAATCTGCCAAACAACGTTTTTGGCCTTTCTTAACAAAATAAGATTCAAAAAATTGATTTGCTCTCTTGCTATTTCTAGTCTGGCACCCAGATGGTGACGAGACAAAAGTGACAGATGCTTGTCTCCAGACATTCCAGAAATCTGACAACCTCTTGAGGACGTCAAAGAACTCCACTGAGATCGATGAACAACTCTGCCACCTCTCATCTCCTTCACTGACTGTGTTTGGGGTAATTGCACATGGATACTTGCATTCAAAAATAACTCCATTCTGTTCCTTTTAATCAGAAATATATACTGTCTGTCGTCACTCAGGGAGGGAGAAGAGTGAATCTTAAAAAGACTTGTCTCTTGATGTTTCAAATTGTTAAAGGGGCAGTATTTTGCTAAATCAACTTGTTTGAGCTTTGCATCATATTGCAATATTATTCCCTCATCAAAAACATACCTGGAGTGTTGCTTTAATTCTTTGAGAAATCATTTAGTCTCCTAAGGTAACCACTCATCTGTGGAAAACACCTGGGTGGTCTGAATGCTGCCTTGGAGGCGTAGCTCCCCATCTGAGCTGCAGCTTTTAAGCTTCTGCCTCACTGCCACTCCTCCCAACGGCTCCTTCAGACTAGCCAGCAACAATCAGAAAACATCTCGTGGAACTGCGCATCTGTTCAGCTCATTATACAAGCTATTTCTCAGTGCTTCGCTGGCAGAGAAACAGAGAAACAGACAGAGGCCCAAATTCAAGTAATCAAATTACAAAGTCAATTTTTTTCTAAGTCATTTTTATTTTTTTATGACTGCCACTACCATAATTATTTGATTGTGCTATGGAATGGGATTATGTGTCTGGAAAATACATAACACTGCCCATTTAAGGTTTGTTATTACATTCTCACAAAATCTTCAAGACAACATTTTTCAAGCTTTTGTTGTTATTTGATTAGTAAAAAGACTCGCCATACCTCTCAAGTCTCCGTTTTGGCTGGAAAAATAGGAGACATTTTGCGGCTAAAAAAGTCGGTACTTGCCAGATGCTGCATGTGTCAACAGGGGGAACAAACAAGACGTGCCAAGAGATGGTCTCCAAAAACTGACTATTGGATCAAACATATCAATTAAGCAGAACTTGCAACCTTGAAGGTTGAGGTCTGTTACACATGGACCCGGGAGAAATAGAGACAACCATGAGGAGGGCTGTCAGATCTGTCATCACCAGCTCATGGGGATGAAGGAACGTTCCAGACTATGTTGTTACAAATTGATAACTGTGAAAGACGAAAACCAAACAAGGAAACAGCAAATGTAAAAAGTGTTACCTGCAACATCTACAAAATAATAGGTCTTTGTAATAATAATAAAAGTAGATTAAATGAGGGGCTGTTTTATACTCCTTTCTTTATAAATATTTTCTTTTTGTTCATCTCGGCTTTAGCTTTGAACAGATATTTCATATTGTGCTTTCCTCCATGTATTCAGTCGCAATATACAGCCACCAATCAACAGTTGTAATTTTTGCAGTCACAATTGTGACTGTGAAAGAGTCACAACTGTGACTGAGGCACTTTTTAATTTGCAAAAATTAAAGAGTATATTGAGCTCTGGTTGTCCTCTGGCCAGTCTGAATATTGACATCAGAGTAACCTTTCTGTTGTCCAACTTGCCAAAGCTCAATTAATTTAAATAATCCAGAAATGCATATTTTAGACTATTTGACTTGCAAATTATGTTGCATGTTTTTTCTTTGCCACTAAAAATGTTAAAAGTCAGCCAACCAGTCCAGTCGCATAGAAATCTACAAGCCATTGCCCATATAATTTACAATCTCACTTTTGAGATCATAGAGGTTGAACCTTTAGAATTACAAAAGTTATGAAAATCAACCTTTCTGCTGAAATCTAGATGCTTTTTGCCATAATGTCATAAAGAGAACCTGTCGGCCAACACAAGTGTGAAAGATCTAAAAGCAGCATTTGTTTCTTAGATATAAAAAAATCAAAGAACAGATGAGAAATACTAATTGCCTTCAATCAGTTTGGATTACAAAGCTATTTCTAAAGCTATGTGATTCAAGCAAACCATATTTGCAGCTATTATATTTAAATGGAGAAAAAATAGCACAATCGTGAACGTTCCCAGGCGCAGCTGACCTATCAAAATGACTCCGAAAGTACATCTTCAACTCTCCCAGGAGGTCACAAAAGAACCCCCAAAGACATGTAAGACAGTACACGATTCAACAATGAGGCTAAAATGGCCTCCATAGGATGGTTCGAAAGCCAAAACCACTGCCGACCAAAAAGAACACAAAGTCCCAACTCAGATTTGCCAAAAAAAACATCTGAATATTTGTGGAAATGCACTGTGGATAGATGAGAAAGAAGAGATCTGTCTCTTTACTTCTGATATAAAACTAACATTTCAGGAGAAAATGTTAGCACCACCATAGTGGTGGTACTGTGATAGACTGGGACAGACTGGCAGTTTCAGGAATAAGATGACTTGCTATAAATGATGGACCAATGAATTTTACTTAGTTCCAGCAAAACCCCCACACATTTCATATTTATCTTTGAATTTGTTTAATGATCTGAAACATGAAAATGTAATGCTAAGTCACAGCAACAACTGAAATAAAACAGTGAGAGGTCATATACTACTTTCAGGCTGTTAATATACAACACTGAATGTTAATTCCTCTGAAGGTATCAGTGACTCAAGAGGTAGGAGTTTGTCCTGTGACGACTGGGTTGTTAATACAAATCCCTATTCTGTTGAACTCAGATATGTTTCCTTGTGCAAGACACTTCACCAGTCTTGTTTGGTGCCAGTGGTGTGAAAGTGTTTCTATAAGTGTGCACCAGTGCAGCTGTGGTTACAACGCTTATCACGCTGTTTACAGCACCATGACAAATAGCTTGTGCTCTGGACAAGCTATTTTACCTTTAATTATAATTAACTATGACCTACTTTACTTTGCTTTTTTGAACTAAGTGGCAAATATTCATCTCTAAGATAACATAATAAGTTTTGCTAACAGCTTTAAGATTGAATTAAATTGTTTCAACAATAAGTTTCATTATGAAGAAATTTCAAAAGGCATTTTTCTTTACTTTCAGTAAAATAGTACATTGTGCATAATGAATGATTGTTGCGTCCGTTACATTATAAGTGATCGTCTCTATCTTTAGTCTCACATATTAAATTCTGAACTGTATGTCAGTGCAACAATATATAGCATTTGGAGGATAAATATTTTATTGATTGGGTAAAATTTGGATTGGTTGAGTTCACAATCCTAAAAAAAATTGAAATAAAAAGGGTTTAAGTATAGATTAATTAAAGCCACTGAAAGAACTGAACTTTATACTGTTGTCTTAACAAGCCACATGATTCCAGCTGTGATTTATCATTATTGAGTATTTATTTAGTTTGTCAGTTTGAAAGGTTTGAAGGATAAAGGTCATTGTGTGTGATAAACCTGATTTTAGCCTGATCGAGATATCCACTTTTAAGTGTGTATACAGATATAGCTAGAGGTGGCTATTGTCTGCTAAAAATCAGAAATGTCTCTTGTCACAATGTAGACCTTTGTCTTTGTCAATGAGTGATTAACTTGTGGAAAAAAATATGTTCCCACAAGTTGTTCGGTTAATGGGGGTTGTGTGAAATTTGCTGATCTGCTTGAAGTTGAGTGAAGCGGAATTTGATTGTTCAGGCTTCATGTTGAGGTCAAACTTTGATTTTTGCATTGTCTCTTTTCCACATGACTTTCTTACTATTGTTAGTACTCATAGCAGTCATCACAGTGGAATTTAATATGAAAGTAGTAACTTACTGTAACCACTAGAAAGCAAAATGAGAGACATGTTCATTTCCCTACAATCTACAGTCCAAGGTTTGCATTACAAGTTTGCACATAACATATATTAACTGTCGATGTTCTTTGTTTCATTCTCTGTTTGTACCTTTACAATATGAATTGGCATAAATTGTTAAATCAGATCTAAAATTCATACAATACAGGTCACACAGTAGCTAAAACACTATTTATTCCTACTCCCCAGCTACAGTTATTCCAACATTTATCTTTCACAGATCATTTATCTCATCCACAGTGAAATGCAAGAGAAACAGCCACAGAACATTTGTCAACATTTGTGTCAGATGCAAAGTTTAGTATTTCCATTTCAACACACTGTAATATGGCAGCAAGGGGTCAGAAATGCAGATGAGCCAGAGGTCAAGGCAGAGAAAATGAGTCAGTTCTTGTCACTGAGCAGCTTTGTTTTCTAATCACTAACAACAGAGCATTTAGTTAAAAGAAAGACACATTTCCATGTTTGTGAAGGATAGTTTCTGGAATGAACTGCTGCTTCTTCTTAAGGTCCTTCTACCGTGACGAGACGATGACGGAGTTTTGTCTCTGAAGATAAGTCTGATTTATTGAGCTAAAGAGAGGGAAAAAAAGAAGAAAATTTTTGATTTTTGATGGAAAAAGTTTGAGGAAAAAGCACCCATAAAGTGAGTTGTAAAAGTAAAGAAAAGTCAGGATATTGTTGTCGATTTTTGTCATTTTTTTAGGTTCATTTTAGATGGTTAGGGCCAAATGTTTATAAACATATCTGATTTAAAAGAAGCAACAATAAATATTTATTTTAATAGTATTTAGCTTGCCACTCTTCAAACTGGAAAAGACAAAAGGACGATGTCATAGAAGTCCAAAAAAGAATAGCAACCAGAAAATAAATAAATCCAAACTCACGCATAACGTCAAGAAGAGAAATTTCCTATTCTTTTCACTGCATGATTATCTCTTTTAGGAAAAATATATTACTAACATACCGTGTATCTGGTCTTGCATCAGGCCATGCCGCTTTCTTCTGCCAAATGCTTGTGCGCCAACATTTGTGGGAACAAAGTTGCTGTGTCCAAGTCCACCTGAGCGACTCAAAAAGTCAGCCAAGCGGTGCGTCACGCAGGTGGCCGTGTTGCATGCCCGTTTTTGTGCTGTCGAATTGCTTGTAAAAAAAAAAAAAAAGGGTGGGGGATAAAGATAAAAAAGTTAGGATATTTATGAAGGGATTAAATGAATGCAAGCAATGACATGTTTTCTTGTTTCCTTTCATTCTTCATACAACTTGATGTCCAGCAACATTGTTAGGACTAAAAGCAGCTTGATGATGAATGTTGAATTCATCAAGAATGAACAAATTGCAACAGAGGAAAAAAATAACTACTGGGCACAATAATAGCTGTTAACTTTTTTTTATTGTCTTGAATATATTTGCAACAGTTTTGAATTAGTTTTTATCATTTTAAGTTGGTGGCACAAACACATGGACAGAGACAAACAAGCAAACTCAAATAATTATTTGGTGTAAAACTCAGAACTTCAATTGTATGTGCTGATGTAGTTTTCATAGAGCTCAGAAAGGCTTCTTCTCTTGCCGGGGGTCCCTGCTCCCACATCAGTGCGAGGATAGGTTTGCAGTTTGTGAATATCCTGGGACAGTCTGCCAAGCACACATGTGCTCAAGCCGGTGCAGCGCTTTGACATGGGTCTATTCCAGCTGTTGGAGATGGAGAGAAACATGCAAAGGCTTATAGGACAGTAACATGCAGATATTGACCTTTGGCTACATGCGTTTACAAAATAACTCGATATGATATTATACAGGCATGCTGACAAATCTAAAAGGTGGATGATGCTAACTAAAATGAAACAGCTTAGTTTTTAAGCTGTGGTTTGTTTGTCATGCCTGTTTTGGGATGTTTGACATCATGCAAACATTATTATTCTAAACTCATGCTGAACTGCAAACAACCTGTGTGAAACTGATGTGACAGCAACGAATGATGTGACTGACTGGATGAATGAATGAATGAATGAATGAATGAATGAATGAATGAATGAATGAATGAATGAATGAATGAATGAATGCCAATCCATTCCATCTGACTTCTCCCACACGTTTCAGAAACTCACTGGACACCTTCAAAATGATCACCAAGCTCAAACTGTTGGACTTGTACACAGAACCATGTTATGTTTCATTAGATCAACAGAAAGGATTGACTATTTAAAGATGAGCTGCAACTTTCAAGCCATACCTCTCCTCGTCAGCTGGTTGTTTGGATGGTTCATCTGAGGTTATCTGCACGAACTCTTTGATAGCTCTGAGTAACGTTTCAGCATCCTTGTTCATTAGTGTGACCCCGTCTGACATGGACTCCTTACTAGTTGAGAAAATAGTCATTCAGTTGGTGCATTGATCTCTCTGCCTCTGACACAAACACTAGGTAAAAAGATCAAGAACTTGTTCAAATGAAGATAATCCACTTTAAGTGATACTTGTACTCTCAAAGACATAAGCAATTACGTCTCCATGAAGGCGTTTTGACATTTCAGTGATTGCCAAAAGTGTGTGTTAACTTTCTTTTGACAGAGTTACTTAATTGAAAATGTCTAACTGTTGCAGAAAGCATGCTCCAGTTCTCACCTGGATGGTGCCGCCTCCGAGGACATCTGGCAGAAAAAAAGGGCATAACCAAGGAGGAGTGTCCTGAGTTTAAGCATGCTCATGATTCCCTGGAAAGAGAAACAATCAGTTTTGTTGGTGCACGCAAAGAAGACGTTAACTCTACTTTGTTCCAATGCACAGACATTTAAAATATACATATAGGAGCTTGGTTGGAGAAAGAAAAAAATTAATAATTTTTTTCAGTTTCAAATGTGCTTCTTCATATTTTAATATTTTGTCCTAATCTGATTCTCCATTCTGTCTGGATTTCTAGGTTGCTCTGTTTTTGTATTCCCTCCTTTTGTTTTGCCGTACAGTGAAAGTTCAAGTTCCTCAAAATATGCTGCATCACATTTAAAATTGCACACTGTAAAAACGACAAATGATAGAAACAGTTACAAAAGGTAAACAATCTTATCTTCTTACTGACCTTGTGATTATAGATCGTCTGAAGTCTTAACCGATGAGCTGACTTGTGAATCTGCTGTGCTTTCCCACAGTGCAGGGTTTTATATATGTCCCACATGGATTTCCGTAATATCTGAGTAATCACTTGACTATGCCTCATTGGACAATCCAATGCTTTGCCCCAAAGCTTTGAACCAATCAGAGATCCTGTGTAATTTATTGCAGGCAAATGAGAACTGGTATGCAAATACAATTTGCTGCATGGTCTCAAATCACAAAGGTGTGTCAGTGTTTTGAATAAGAGGGGATGGAAAATAATAATGTGTATGCCTGTGAAAATAAACACCTAGTTTATAAACTCATAAATGCCGTTGTACTGGTAATCTGAAATCCAGTTTCAGAAGTTTCAGTCATGAAAGCCAAGCTCTTTTAGTAGATATCAGTGCACAACTGGAACTAAGCAGGGAGATGAGGAAGTTGGAAGCAAATGTGTAAGTTTGTTTGAGTCTGAGGTGAAATTCTGGATGATTTCATAATGCTGGTTAGATTTAATTATTTATGTATTTACCATGATCTACGGTTTTCCCCCAGTGACTTTGGTCCATTTCTCATATAATTTTCAATATCTGCAAAATAGTAATTCAATTTCTCAAAACAATTTGTAAAAACAGCAAAACACAATGGATTACCTGCAAACTCCAGTCTCTTCCTCAACATACTTAGAAAGCAAATACCTGAGTCAATGAACATGTCAGAGTCTGAGAATGACAATTCCTTGTTTCACTGAGTTCGGATAAGACAGTCAAATTGATTAGTGATGTTGTCAATATAACAGTGAACTATGGAGGGATGTTTTGTTTTATACTGTATGGGTAGGGTTTTGATTTTCTAGATTGTAATTGTGGGAGGTCAGTGGAAAGAGACTTGACAAGATTCAAATGAATGTTTTTACTGTGATTTATTGGCATACCCTGTCATTGTAATCTAGAAAGGAAAAGACAGCACTACAGAATACAAAAAACACATCACAAAAGTAGAAATTGAAACATTGGGAAAGTAATACATGAAGTGGTGCAGGAATTACAATGCAGTTTTCCTACAAGGTCAATATCCATGCTGAGAAAAATTCTCCATTGGATTTCCAAAATATCACAAATCTGAAGACTAGGATGAGAGAAAGTCTACCAGCAGTGTGTTGTGAGATGTAAACCAAATCCTGATTATATTAGATTAAGAGAAACTAGCAGATATCCTCAGCCTTGTCTGTCTCTTCCTCTGTTTACCTGCTAACTCCTTTGCAAAAGCCACAGTAGTTTGCTTATTCTTTTCTCTGACTGTTGACCCCGTCCAAATCCTCATCCTACTGTCAGAAATGTGACATCCCATCGTGGCTACAAACGTCATATAAATGCCAAATGACGGTTCATGAGAAGCCTATTAGAAATACAGTTAGGGCCAGAAATATTTGGACAGTGACACAGGTTTTGTCATTTTAGCTGTTGACAAAAATATGTTCAGAAATACAATTTATATATAGTATGGGCTGAAAGTGCACACTCCCAGCTGCAATATGAGAGTTTCCACATCCAAATGGAGAAAGGGTTTAGGAATCATAGCTCTGTAATGCAGAGCCTCCTCTTTTTCAAGGGACCAAAAGTAATTGGACAATGGACTCCAAAGGCTGCAAGTAACTCAAAAGGCCTTTCCCTCGTTAACCTGTAATCAAGTAAGTAGTTAAAAGGTCTGGGGTTGTTTCCAGGTGTGTGGTTTTGCATTTGGAAGCTGTTGCTGTGACCAGACAACATGCGGTCAAAGGAGCTCTCAATTGAGGTGAAGCAGAACATCCTGAGACTGAAAAAAAGAAAAAATCCATCAGAGAGATAGCAGATATGCTTGGAGTAGCAAAATCAACAGTGGTACATTCTGAGGAAAAAGGAATTGACTGGTGAGCTTGGGAACTCAAAAAGGCCTGGGCGTCCACAGAAGACAACAGTGGTGGATGATCGCCGCATACTTTCTTTGGTGAAGAAGAACCCGTTCACAACATCAACTGAGGTCCAGAACACTCTCAGGAAGTAGGTGTATCTGTCTCTAAGTCAACAGTAAAGAGAAGACTCCATGAAAGCAAATACAAAGGGTTCACATGTAGATGCAAACCATTCATCAATTCCAAAAATAGACAGGCCAGAGTTAAATTTGCCCAAAAACACCTCAAGAAGCCAGCCCAGTTCTGGAAAAGTATTCTATGGACAGATGAGACAAAGATCAACCTGTACCAGAATGATGGGAAGAAAAAAGTTTGGAGAAGAAAGGGAACGGCACATGATCCAAGGCACACCACATCCTCTGTAAAACATGGTGGAGGCAACGTGATGGCATGGGCATGCATGGCTTTCAATGGCACTGGGTCACTTGTGTTTATTGATGACATAACAGCAGACAAGAGTAGCCGGATGAATTCTGAAGTGTACCGGGATATACTGTCAGCCCAGATTCAGCCAAATGCTGCAAAGTTGATCGGACGGCGCTTCACAGTACAGATGGATAATGACCCCAAGCATACAGCCAAAGCTACCCAGGAGTTCATGAGAGCAAAAAGGTGGAATATTCTGCAATGGCCAAGTCAATCACCAGATCTTAACCCAATTGAGCATGCATTTCACTTGCTCAAATCCAGACTTCAGACGGAAAGACCCACTAACAAGCAAGACCTGAAGGCTGCGGCTGTAAAGGCCTGGGAAAGCATTAAGAAGGAGGAAACCCAGCGTTTGGTGATGTCCATGGGTTCCAGACTTAAGGCAGTGATTGCCTCCAAAGGATTCACACAAAATATTGAGAAAAAACTTTTTTGTTTGGGTTATGTTTATATGTCCAATTACTTTTGAGCTCCTAAAATGTGGAGTGTTTGTAAAACAAATGTGTACAATTCCTACATTTTCTATCAGATATTTTTGTTCAACCCTTTAAATTAAATGTTACAATCTGCACTTGAATTCTGTTGTAGAGGTTTCATTTCAAATCCAATGCGGTGGCATGCAGAGCCCAACTCACAAATATTGTGTTACTGTACAAATATTTCTGGCCCTAACTGTATATGCTGTACAAGTATGTACATATTATTTGTCAATATACAAGCATTTTTCACGCAAAGATTTATACTACAATCTTAAATGATGTGGAGGTTGAGATAATTCAGAGACCCATAAAATACATTTTGATCAACATGGCGTAAAAAACTTAAACTGTAAGAAAAAGCAGAGAAGTGCACATAATCACTTGCATGATGTACAAAAGCATTTTCAACTTGCTCAAAGGAATGATAAACTGCTTTTCTGATGAGCACAAGTGACACAACGATTTGAAGACTGAACAAGTAGTTTTGATTATACCTATTCTGTTCTGAGAAATGCACCAAAGGGACTAAAAATAAACTGTAAAAGAGAAGATGTTCAGATAAAAGAGGCTATAATGTCACTCTGAGCTGAAAAGGAACTGAAACTCCTTTCTTCAAAGAGATCTAAAAAAAAAAAATCTAAGACCATACAGGATTTAAGAGATGTAATTGCTCAGCTACTGCTTGAAAATGCTTCATCTAATGACTGAAAATTATCTTGATGGTGATGAAAAAAAAATCTATTCTTTAAATAGATTAAAACTCAAAACTACAATAACAAAAAAAAAAAACTGATCGTGACAAATTGTATTTTTATGACAGATGTCTTATTGTCAAGTGCAGAGATATTCAATTTGAAATTGGTCCCTTGCTAAATTGGTTGTGTGTTATTCCTATGTACTGGTAAAAAGAAAAGAAAAATGTGTTCTTTGTTTGTTTGTCCAGCACTCTTTTTAACATGTTTTTGTGAGTCTTATTTTAGACATGACGCAATCCCTTCATTACAGGAGCCTCATACACCTAAAAAAAAATTCTCAGAGCAGAGTTGACCTTGTGAATAAAACCACAGCAGCCTTTGTCTCTCCCATGAATGTTGAGGTACTTGGACAGGAGGGCCGAAGTCCAAAGACAAGCATTTAAATCCTTTGGAATAGCTATAGAAAGATGACCAAAAAAAACTCTTGTCGTTCTGAAGCACATAAAAAAAAAAACAGATTAGAAAATAATCCCATCATTTAGATTTTGTACTAAACACCTCTGGACTCCAGAACTGAACATGTGCACATGATTCAGTAAAATGTGCCACATCAGAGAAAACTTATTAACTAAAATCACAGCAATTAGTTGGGCAGTCAAATAGTAATTGCTGGGCTGAGTTAATTTGCTGTGTCTTGCTTATTTGTGTGCTAATAGTATCACATGGAGGTCTCATCACTAAACTACCCCTTTCCTTACTTTGATGTCGATCCACGCTCTTCAAGCAAATTGCTTTGCTGCTGGTTTCAGGCCTTTCTCTAATTCCCCTTATGTAACAACAGTGGAGGATGTCTCATAAAGCATTTTGGCTCCATGTTAGTTTTCACGTCACAATAAAAACTAATTTCAGTAGATGGGCCTTTTAGTAATGTTGAGCAGACCTGCAGGCCACGTAAAAAAAGCACTAACGTAGCCTCTGGCTCCTCCACACACTATTAGAACCTGATTGTGAGAGGCAACAAAACAAGACATGCCATTGGTAATGATTGGTAATTGTCTTGTTTCCATCTGAGCGTGCTCACAACACAGAGTTGCAGGCAAAAAGTTTAACAGATAATTTTTAGAACCTTCTCACTAAGCAAAAGATTAACAAAGAAAAATTGTGATGGGAGAAAATAAATAACATTGACACACTGGAATCAAAACAACTCTGGAACCAAAATTACAAACTAAACAGTCGAATTAAGAGCTCAGACATTTTAATGTAATTACAGCACAGCAGAACTACACAGAAGCAGCTACAAAACAAGAATGTAATGCATTTCCTTAATGAGTCAGATGAATTTTGTACTTATTTAATGTTACTCCAATGCTACTATTCATCACTGAATAATCTAACCAATGAGAACCAACTGATGCACAGAAAATTAATTCCAAAGGGAAAAAAGTATCGAGCCGTCTGCAATTAGCTCTCACTTCTCGCATATCCGGAAGTT